ATTTACGGATTGTATGAACATATCACACGAACGTGTGTGTGTGTGTGTCGCGGATATTTTTTTGGTGAACATAGTACATGATTTCACATACAGGAGACACTGATTTCAATTTGCAAGTATGTTTCCAAAGATGTTTATCATGATAGCACTGTAGTACTGAAACCCATCTGGTTGGTGGTTTGGAACAGCTGCGGGCTCAACTCCTCCCAGTTCAGCGGTGCAGCGGGGCTGGCTAATCGTTGAGCGGTTAGTACACCCTGCTTTGGTTGCATACCGTTCCATGTGTCGTTGCCATGGCTCGTGAGTCTCCGTTTGTCCCGCTTTGACGATGACGCTGGCTACCCGGTTGTGGCCTTTCCTTGTCTTGATGGTGGTCTACATTGCGAAGGGGGTGCAATTGTTGCACCGGCAAACTTCTGTTCGGACGGTCAGGTTCCAGGATTCGTGGGACTACGACGGCTTGTTCGCCACACATGTCTTGAGCAGCAAGTGCGTGCTCTGGCAGCTCCCACAGAAACCCCCTGGGACTCTGTGTGCTTCCCTGGTCCCTAACCATAGCGCAGAAGCAGCACCGTTTCGCTTTGAGAAGTTTGAGTTCAAACAATCAGTCACTGCGGGCAGTTCGGCATGCACCAACACTGCTTGGGAAGGTATGAGGAGCCTTGATACAGCCATGGTTGTTCCACAAGTGAGCTTTTCGCCCTGGTTGGATTCTTTGCCTGGATTCATGGTCGAGGTCCCTGACTTGAAACAGATTAGACAACGATTACTGCGGTTGAACATCTGGGTGGCGCACTTTCTTTTGCCCGCTTGGGTGCGCACTCTTCAGCTGATGGTTCGTGCTAAGATTGCGATTGGTGATTGGGGTCCCTCCCGCGATCGTTTCTGGTTGGTTCCTAAGACTTGGCTAGGCTTTGAAGTGCTTCACCGCTCATGTCAGCAGCGGTTTGTGTGGAGGACTGGCAAGTTTCGCACAGTTTGGACGAATTTGTGGTCACATGTGAGTTCATTCCTTGGCCCCGCTACGACGTTCTTGTTGCTGTCTAAGCAATTGGAGATTGTTGTGACGACGTTGTTGGGCCACTGTCCGCACGCTTGGCTGGTAGAGGTGATGGTTTTCTTTAATTTGACTCGGGCCGCAGAGCGGCTGCCCTGCACGTTGACATTTGCCGAGGCTGACAGGCCACCCAACAAGGGTCGCTTGTCCCTCTGATTACTCTGGTACATAGTGCTTCGTTCCATACCCCGAGCAAGCACGCTTATCGGAAATGGTGGAAATGGTGGTTTGGAACATTTTTAATTTTTCCATATATTGGGAATAATCATCCTAACTGACTAATATTTTTCAGAGGGGTTGAAACCACCAACCAGATTAATTAATTATATTATATATATATACATATTATCATTATATTGTATAATATATATGGTTATATATGTGGTTTTATAATTACATATTAAAAAATATTATGATATTATCCGCGTTGAATCCCATGACCATTAAGATCCCATGCATATCCAAAAAAAATGCGAAAGCCACAGGAGAGTTACATCGACAAGAGCTATGAGTGGAACGAGTGGAAACTTCGGCAGGATGCAGGGGACTTGGAAGGCTGAAGAGCAGAACGTATAATTACCCTGTGGTTATTTAACATAGCCATGGAAAATCACCATTTTTAATAGGTAAACCATCTATAAATGGGCCATCTATACCATGGCTATGTTAAATAAGCAGAGGTTTTGTTTATTCGAAATGTTGAGGGTTGCACCGTGTTTTTTTGTGTGGTGCATAATTTGATATGGGTATGGGTCAAAATTAGGTAGCCCAATAATTGGATGGTTAATACTAGACCAACATCTGTGGTCCCCTAGGTCTTCCATTTTGACCCACATCCATATGATTTGATTTTGCATATAGGATTGTTCATGTGATTTTATATTGATTGAATGGAATATGAATGGGATGAATATCATTGGATAAATAATGGGGTATTATTGATATTATTAGTGGGATATATACCCTTTAGTAATCAAACATAGCAATGGAACGAATCCACCATTTATTGATGATTTGGACACTGAAATTAGCGCCTCATGATCCAACGGAAATGCAAATCCAAGGAGAAGCATCCAACCAGAAGATGACCCATTTATAGATGATGTTCCCATCTAGAAACCTCCATTTATGGTTGGGATTTTCCATGGCTATGTTAGTCATAACCAGATGGTATAACTCACTACACATCGGATCTCATCCCATCGGATCTTCTGACAAATCACCAGCCAAGGTCCCCCAAGCATCGCCAGAGGTAAACCTCTGGTTCGTTCATATTCTGGGGGACCATTCCCAACAGTACTGCAACACACATCCACTTCATTGAATTACGACTATATATACATATATATCTGATTGGTGGTTTGGAACAGGTTTTATTTTTCCATATTGGGAACAATAATCCCAACTGACGAATATGTTTCAAGATGGATTAAAACCACCCACCAGATATATAGGATACACTAACAACCAATTGTTAACTAACAGTATGGTAGTCACCTTGGGTTGTTCGGGTACCCCTAGTAGTAGAATTTCTTGAGCGACGGAAAATTCACGACATTCTCCGCTACTGAGCTCTTTTTTGGGACAACCAAGTAACACGTTTTTTTTTTCTACCCTACGGACTCAGCAAAAGGTGCTTTGGCGGTTTGAACTCTGAGAATTCCCCAACCAAATAGTCTCAGGTTGAAATGACTAAATGTGAGTTTGTCTCAAAATAAGGTACCCATAGGTACCCCCATGTCCAATGGTTTTTGTTGGGAATGTTTAGGATATCATTGTCCCATTGTAGAAAGGCAATAAATTGTAGTATATCACATTTCAGGACAAACCCAAGAAGCGTAATCTTGGTTAGACTTTGTCATATTGTGGCATATCCCATTCTCTCATATCTTTTCATTGTAGCTCATTATGTTTTATGGTTATCTCATTATAGTTCATCATAGTTGATTATATATCATTATAGCTCGTGATATCTCATTACATATCATTATACATACATACATACAAACATACATTACATTACATTACATTACATTACATTACATTACATAACATAACATAACATAACATAACATACATAACATACATAACATACATACATACATACATACATACATACATACATACATACATACATACATACATACATACATCCATCCATACCATACCATACCATACCATACCTTACCATACCTTACCTTACCTTACCTTACCTTACCTTACCTACCTTACCTACCTACCTACATACCTACCTACATACCTACCTACCTACGTACATACATACATACACACACACACACATACATACATACATGCCATGCCATGCCATGCCACGCCATGCCACGCCACGCCATGCCACGCCATGCCACGCCACGCATGGCATGGCATGGCATTACATTACATATCATTACATTACATTACATTGCATTACATTGCAGTACATACATATATATATATGATATGTGATTATATTATATCATTTTACGATATCATTATATTTCATTATATATATAATCGTGTATATAACGTATATTTCACCATATATATATATATATTTACATCAATATATCATCATTAAACGGTTACCACGGTTGTTGGCGTTATTTTTCCCGATCAATCCCATTGAACAAAACCAACTTCGTCAACAAAAAATCAACTATGATCAACTATGCTGGTTGGTGGTGACTGGAACATTTGGATGATGTTTCCCATCATATTGGGAATTTCATCATCCCAACTGACGAACTCATATGTTTCAGAGGGGTAGGTCAACCACCAACCAGAATACCTACTTTCCGTATACAAAGTGTTGTGGCAGTCCCTATGGCAGCCAACCATTCGGATAAAGAAATGAAATAAACCATCATTAAACATAGTATCATGATGTATCATGTTCATGTGTCCATATTTTCCGATTTTTTTTCCACCACCCTTCATCCCAAACCAAGCCAATTTTAGTTCATCATCCCCCAACGAAGAAACCCAGGCCCTCCATGTGGCTGATATCCGGCGCAAGACGACCTCCACCACTCAGACGGCACGCGGTTCCCAGTGCTGAAAGGGACCAGAACTGGTGAAAACGCACTGAGAATGAGGATATCATGAGGATATGATGGTTATTTCATGTGGAGATATATGGAGATATATTACAGTATTTTTGATTTGACATGATCTGCAATGGTACATCTATGTACCCACTGGTTCTTCAAAGGACAGATTACAGATCTATACAGATCTCCACATGCTCTGGTTTGGTTTCTGCACTGTACACAATGCTTTGAGGTGGGATTCAAGTGTGCAGACTTTGGTGGACGGTATGATTGACTGAAAAACCATCGAATGATATCCCACTAAAAAGACCTTCACTTAATTGCATATGATAGATTATTATAGTATCTAAATAACTACAATCCATTATAATCCATTTAACAATGATTATAGGTCATTTAATAATCTATTATCATCCATTTATTATACTATATAAAATTACTTACAAACCATTTAAGTCATCAACCTACATTTTCCAAGCATCCCCAAGCTTCATTTTTTTGACCGATGCCAGGCCTTTAGCCACCTCCGAAGGGAAAACGAGACGCAAGTCTACCTACCCAAGGTGCGCGCCGGTCATGGTGAAGTCTAGTATCGATGTGTAAGAGAATGTAAGACATCTATCTATCTACATAATAATATATATATATATTATATGTTATTATATAATATATAATATATATAATAGGTATATATGATATATATATATATACATGATGTATATATATATATATATGATATATATTTTATTATATTGTATTATATTATATTATATTATATTAATATGTGGGTAGATTATAGGGACCTCACTGCGACCTCACTGGAATGATGGTTTGTTTTGGGGAATCATCATCAAATCACCTTATTTCTCAGGCCATTGTGTTTCTTATTTAATGTTGTTTCTCAACCTGAAACACTTGTGATTTGTACATACCCCTACTTGGTGGGTTATAACCGGAGTTATAAATGGGATTTTTGTAGGGTTAATCCACTGAAATCACTGGGGTTATAAGCCACTTACGATTCGTGGGTAGTTCGCCACCAAGTACATACCCCTAGTTATAAGTCACCATCAAACAAAGTGAAGTAAACCATCCACATTGGTAGATACCTATGAATGACTTGACACATTTTTTTGGTGAGTCCTGAGTGCCTGAGACGGGCCCCCTTGGAACGAGTAGGAACGAGTAATGGGATGGTATCTGAACTTTAGATGATTACTATGTTTTTATGGTTATATAATGTTATAATTGTTATATAAGTTACTAAGTTGGTGCAAATAACTCCCATAACTATAACTCCCATTTCACTATGGTTTATGGCAGATATAACGAACTAGTTTTCATGGGGTTTATAAACCAACTTATAACTGGGGGGCACCATCCTGTATATATAATTATATATATATACCCCAGATGCTCCATGGTGCTGGAATTTATATACCTGCATGACTGGGTCATTTTTGGGGTAAATGTTAGGATTCATATTCCAGCACCATGGTTCGCATATGGGTAATATACCATCCATATACCATCCATATACCATCCATATACCATCCATAAGTCATTCCATATACCTGGTATAGTTATAGATGTGTAACAACCCCCAACTAGGTGCAACCACTATGGATACCCACGTGATCTTGGAGGAAACCCCTGGGAAAATTCAGAAGGTGGATTTTGAAACCGTGCAGCAAGCCGTGGGAATTCATGCTGGAGGTCATGAAAATCAAAGAACTTCAACAGGAAATCCATTGGAAATCCATTGGAAATCCATCTAAATTAAATTCTATGATAAAAAAATCCATTGGAAATCCATTGGATATAGTTACTTTCTATGTTACTTATAGATATTCTATGTCTATGGGCCATTGGAAATCCATTGGATATAGTTACTTAACTTAATGTTACTTGTAGATACTTATACTGGTCGGTGGTTTCAAACATCTGGATTATTTTCCATTTCATGCATGGGATGTCATCTGAAACCCATTGACTTTCACTCCATCATTTTTCAAGATGGTTAGTTTACCACCAACCAGGTATGATCATAACTCCCATGATATAACCCATATATAACCATTATTATTGGTATTATAACCACATGTTTTATACATTTATATACCACCAACCGAAACTTATAGCCTATTTAAGTGATGGCCATGGATACCTATAGCAATTTCTTCAGAAGGCCATGCGGCCATTGTCGGATGCTTTATCAGGAAGCTGCCACCAGCACCAGCACCTCGCGGGGAACCAATCCTCCCAGGCTGGCCTCCCGGGTTTTGATCGTGAATATGGAGGTTTTAATGGGAAAACCCATAGGAAAACCATAGGAAAACCATAGGAAAACCATAGGAAAATGGAGGTTTACCCTTCGGTTAATGGTTAATATACTGTTAATAATTATTAATATTAATGGTTATTATATGGTTAATGATGGTGAATAATCTAATGATCAACTGGTTGATGGTTGACCCCTCTGGTAATGACTAACAGTTTGCGAACTTGAACATGACCATAGAATAGTGGATTTTTTTCCATTGGAAACGGTGATTTTCAATAGCTATGTTAGTTTACCGGAGGGTAAATCATCAATGGAAACCACAGTTTTTTTTTAACCACTGTGGTTAAAAAATTGGAGGAAACCCATCAATGGATGATTTGAGGGGGAAAATCTTACCCGGAAATTCCATGGGTTTTTACCCGCAAATCCATGTTGGATTTGATCACAGTGGTACATTGATCCCCTCAAAATGGGGCTTAATTTTTGGGGAAACCATCCATGATCATCAGTGGATTGTTTCAAGGGAAAATCTTAACCGGAAAGTCCATAGTTTTTGTTTACCCAGTAAATCTAAGGGGGCTCCTGTAAATCTTCCTCTCATCTAAGTCTACGAAAGCAAGCAATGAGGATTCATTGGATGTGTTTTTGAAAGCATATGACACTGCCGGGTTTCGGGCATATTTGGATTAATGGTATATATACTTATCTGGTTGGTGGTTTAGAACATTTTTATATGTTTCCATATATTGGGAATAATAATACTCCATCATTTTTCAGAGGGGTAGGTATACCACCAACCAGATACTTATATACTGAGCATAGATGTCCCAAATTCCCACTGGTTGATTCATAGATGGGGATAATCTGACTCTCCTAGATGATCTCCCCCAGCTGTGACCGAGAGCTGGTTCCCATGAGTTCAGCTGCTTGGCGAAGCCGAAGCCGGTCGATTGGAATGACCAGCATTGAGAATATGTTATGCCGGTCATTCCAATTGTTTATGACCATAGAAAATGATTGTTATATCAAATGAGAATCATGGAAAATTGTTTTATCATATTGTAATATCATACACATTTGCTATGACTTGGCATAAATTGGTCATTAGCAAAAAATACGTAGAGGGCGGTTCATCACCAAAAATTTCAGAATGCCAGGTGGCACATGATTGGTGACCAGGGTAAATGATTGACATTGACTTTGAATCCCAACAGCGTGTGGTTCTAGAGGTTGGAAAAACTTGGTCCTTCCCACTGCATTGGAGGTTTTTCTTCACGCGGAAGTTTCCAGGTTCCAACTTCGAGCCGACTTAGAATTTTGTATATATATATATAAATATACTAGAATAACGACTAAAGAAACATTGTACATAGAAATATCTGCAATTTTTAATCCCCAAACTGGAGGCTTTAATCATGTTTAATCTTCAAAAAAAGAAACGCCGTGGCACCTGGTAGGCTCAAAAAATACTTCGTGGGTCTCCGTGGTGTGCCTCAACCAATGCAAGTAGGGGCAGCCCAGTGGTAACTGCTGGTGGTGGTAACTGGTGAGTGTTAAGGGCTTAGTCTACCCATAAATATGGCAAGCCAGGACTTGGGACTTCGGTGCAAAGCGAGAGTTGCTGCAGATGGTGACATTCGTACGTGTTTTTTTTCGGAATGTGTTTTTTCTGGATTTGATCCAAAGAATCTACAAACCCCCAAGTTTTTCTAGCTGATTTGGGTCCTTAAAACTACTAAGATTTCCGATGGCCCGTCCCCCGAATATCCAACCACCCCAGAATCTATGCTTCAGTAGCGGATTTGCACATGTGGGTATCACTTAGGAGGGATATTTTATAGTAGCTGCAGGGATTCTGACTACCCTCTGGTTATTTGACATCGCTAAGGAAAATGACCCGTTAAAAAAAAAAATGTTTTATGCTGTTGTATCTAGTTGAAAAGGATGATCTAAGCCATAGCGGCTATTTGTTGATATCTGTCGTATATTAGCAGAGGGTATATCATATCCCATTCGTTTATCCCACTAAAGCTTCATAAATGGCAGTGTGTCAAAACCTTGTACCCCTTTTGTTCACATCAAAATAGCTGGTAAATGGATGTTCATTCCCCTAAAATGGTATTAATAGGTATTGATCCATACCCAAATATCCCATTAAATCCCATAAATCTCCCACGAAATCACAGGAAAATCCCCTGTTTTGGTGGTCCTTGTCACTGGGGCAAGCCATGACGTCCAAGCGCTGCCGCGCGCCTGCGCGCGTGCGCGCTGCAGGTTGCCGAATGCAGATACGATCTTTGAGATGTCCGATCGAAAGGGTCGCTTCCCGAAGGAGCTGGGCACCTCACAAAATGGAACATCATTTGTATGATCATATAGATGTTAGATAGTTTAATATGGTTAATTAATAATATGGTTACAAATATGGTTAATAATATGGTTGATAATATGGGTAATAATGTTGATAATAATATGGCTAATAATATGGATAATAACATTGATATTTCTGTGTATTCTAGCAGAATCGAAAACATGTGCATCACATGCGTTCTCGTTCATCTCAAAACGAAGCATTCCTCTTGTGACTCATTTATACAAATTAACAGCTGATATTAGCATATATTGGCTTCCTTATCAAGTCTTTGCACATGATTCATCTACTAAACAAACATTGACATACTCTAAACGTTGCTCAGAGGGGGACTTGACCGCTTTTCACCGTTCAACGTTTCACCCTGCAAAACTCGCACCGGGGCATCACTGGAAGCCACTGGTGAAAAAGACGTCTCAGCGAATTTGGTTGTGGGTTGGCTGGTAGTTGTTGATTTCTTTGATTTCTATAGTTTTATTGTTAGCAGATGCTAGCAGGAGCATCTATATAATCTATGATGATTATATTATTGTTATTATGTGTTTGTTTGTGTTAACATTGTCTTGAAGCATAGTTGGTTTTTGGTTCAAAAGAGGGTCTACACCAAAATGTACTGCGTTATCGTTACTATTAAAAGCACAGTTGGTTACAATGGCAATTGATCCTTAATTTTACCGGCAAACCCAAATATGGTCATGGTATGATACCCATATGCTCCATGTATGGAATATTTGCCAACATTTACAGTACCCCAAAAATGACCCAGTCATTTTTCGGTAATTATTCCAGCACCATGGAGCATCTGGTATATGTTCTTTCAATTGGGGTGTATGTCGAGTACAGCGATTTCGAGTCGCGACACAACTCGGATGTAAAGTTCGAGCCCAGTTCGCTCGGGCCATGGATGCTTCGGATGGTGTTGACCATCCCATGAATTGTGGTGTATTACTACCATGTGGGGCCCCCTAAATAGCTAAGTTGCTGCAGATAACTTCAATAACTCTGGTTTATGATACCTATATATATATATAATATCCTACTATATAGTTAATGTTTTTTTTTAAAAAAAAAATAACAACTTCCAACTGGGGGGCCCCACTTTGTTCCAGATCTACCATTAAAGCGTTCTGCGATCCAATTTGTTTGCTCCGATGGACCCATTTCTGCCCCCCCCCTTCGTTCGTCGCTTTGAGAGCACATGAACTGCATCTTGATGGATTATTATGGAACTTTAAATGATGAACATAGCATCTTTGGGAAACTTTAAATGATGAACATAGCATCTTTGGGAAACTTTAAATGATGAACATAGCATCTTTGGGAAACTTTAAATGATGAAACATAGCATCTTTAATCGATCATTATGAGTTTCTTGAATTGCATCTTTATGTCCTAAAATGTGGATCGATTATGAGTTTCCCAAAGTTTTCCACATGGAAAGTGGTTTCCCATCGAGAAAAGGCAGCAATTTATATACCCTCTGGTAAACGTTTTCCCATTGAAACCTCCATTTTCCTATGGTTTTCCTATGGTTTTCCCATTGAAACCTCCATTTTCCTATGGTTTTCCTATGGTTTTCCTATGGTTTTCCCATTGAAACCTCCATTTTCCTATGGTTTTCCTATAGTTTTCCTATGGTTTTCCCATTGAAACCTCCATTTTTGTTAACGTTTCCCAGGCCGGGTCACTTGGCCAACTTTGGGTCACGGCCGAACGCCCCAGGCGCACTCGCCCTTCGTGACCGTGGACGTGCGATTGGAGGCGTCCAGTGTTAAAATTCGCCTTGGAGGCGATGGTTAGAACATCAAGAAATGGTGGTGAAACCATGGTTAAAACCATGAAAACATTGTTTTTTTGAAAATATTGGGATTTTTGAAACAAATATATATGGATATGAAAAACCGGGGTGCGGGTACCATTTAGGTGTCAGATTGTTACTCTTTGGGAAGTATCCCCCAAAAAAATTATAGACCATGGTCCCATGGTTTATTAATCCGGGGTTGACATGAATATTTACCCTCTGGTAAATTAACATAGCTATGGAAAATGGACCATTTACAGATGATTTTCCCAATAAAACCTCCATTTATAATGGATTTTCCATAGCTATGTTAAATTACCAGAGGGTAATGTCAAAATCAAGATGGTTTTCTAATATTAACATATTAACCATATGGTAATCCGTTGATATAAAGATGGTTGACTTCACTTGGAAAATCACCGAATCTTAATGCAGGCCGTGGAGCGGTTGCCGGAGGAGAACATCTCATGCAGCTTTCAGAAGGCCAGTGGCTGCCAGTGGCGCAATCGGCTCATCAGTTCAATCCCTGGCACAGGTGAGGATTCTATGGGGATTACCCTCTGGTAAACTAACGACATAACTATGGAAAATCACCATGCTATGAATGGGCAAATCATGGTAAATCCACTATTTCGACTGGGCCATGTTCAATAGCTATTTTGACATAACCAGAGGGGATACCATTGAACCATCATCTTTTGAATGGGGATTGATCCATGATTTTTGTTTGGGATGAGGTTTTCGCGATGTCACAGGAATGATGGTATTTACACATATATATATAATTCATGATATGTATATATATATACATGGGTACAGTAACTATCCCAACATGTATTATGGTTTCAGACTGGGTTGATACTTGTCAGCTATATCAATTGCTTCTCCGTTTCATATCAAGTTACAATGACACAAATAAGACTTATTGATATTAAGAAAAACAATAAAATGCCAGTAACATAAATTAATATATCAGGCACTACTTGTTTTACCACCATACAGTAGACAAGACATCCCAGAAGCCTTCAAAAAATCGAGGATGGCCTCCAAAAAAATCAGCCTCTCAGAGGCTGGGGTTTGGTTGCAACAAAAATTGCCCCAAGTTAGTGCCATTTGCATATTATATAAATATATACTGGTGTTGCACATATATATATATATATATATGTTTAATTAAATATATATATATATATATTCCGATAGGGAACTTGATGATTGTCCCATTTTTCTGCAATTAAATGCGGGAAACTGGGTTAAACCCATGTAGATTTGAGGGGTACCTGCGTTTTTGACAAAAGGTGAATCTGTGTTTTATGCCCTCAATGGGAAAACGATGATTGCCACATTCCATCCACTGACTGATTATTTTGCCCCCTGAATTGACACATGTTTTTCGGTTTTCAGACAAACCAAAGACTGTATCATTTTGTTGCTTCAATAGCCTCATATGTCCATGATATATGATGCCCATTGGTGCGCTATAAAGTGGGATATTTCCATGGTAAGTGGGATATTTCCATACTCCATGTTAGATATATGATGCCCATTGTATATCCCACTTGGTTCCGTAGAACTCCAACATCAGCCACTCGATTCTAACATGGAATTCACGGAATCAGCCAGCAGGACAGCATGGATTTGCAAATCATACATTCCTTCACTGGGAAGAGGTGCGTCACTGGTGCGGGTTGATGGATGGTGTCTTGGCCCAAGTTGGATAGGGGTGTCATTGTAGGCGCAAGTCATGCAATGGATTTGGATGGATTGTGTATTGTTGCAAGTTGATGTAAGTTGTATATAATTCTGCTGCTTGATCATGTTCGATGTAGTTCAGGCGTTCTTGGAATGTGGAAGCCGCAACTATTCCCAACATTTGGTCTGGGACAGAGACGCCATGTCGGATTTGGACTTGGAATCCAAAAAGTTCATGGGAATAGGTCCAGATCCAAAACTAAGCATGCCAGTAATGTGAGTCAAGCAGTAGTAAATGGTGGTATAAACCATAAATTACCATAAATGTGGTTCATTATCAACAGTAAACTTTACCATAAATCGGTGGTATAAACTTCAGGGTCATGTGATTCTGCGACCATTTGATCATGCATGACGCAGCTGCTACATATCAATGAATGCGACTGTCCTGTCGAAATACCACAATGGCAGCTCTCCGCGCCACAGCCCATGTATGACTGAAATTTGCATAATTATTCACCTCATTTCATGGGCTGTTCCGGGCATGGAATTCTTCAAAAGAGCCCTTTTTGTGAATATATATATATATCATCTATAGTTGGATAGTATCCATTAAATTAAGTATACAAATTGTGAATATACAGTTATACAGTTGGTATATATATATACATATATATATATATATGTATAATATACACACCATGCTATGCCCTACCATCTCCAAAAACGGCGTAGCAACGGCACTCCAAACTTAAACTTTGGCCATGGCATTCCGACTCTCAGCCAGTGGGGCGCCGGCCCCGTCAGAGGCCAGGTTTTTTGTTGCCTCAACATGGAGCATAGCCCCCTTTTTTTTGGCCATGTCAATCCATTTCAATGGATAAAAATAGGAAAAACTAGGGTACATCATAGTAGCCATGTTAGTTGGTTAGTATCAATGGATTGGTTTAGGGGAAAATTTACAGGAAACCTTCATATTTAATGGTAAAAACGATGGTTTCCTCTAAGTTTTCCCTTAAACCAATCCAATGATAGTAGCCAATTTAACATTGCCATGGCTTTTGTTGGAAAGTAGCCCATTTGACAAACCAACTTGGTCATCGGTCAAAGTCGTCTCCTCGACAGTTGGGTGCAATCGGGAGGTGTTGCATCCAATGAAACCAGCTGCACTGGACTGAGAATCTGGGAATTTACCATAGGAAAATGGAGGTTTTAATGGGAAAACCATAGGAAAACCATAGGAAAATGGAGGTTTACCCTCTGGTAAACATACAAAAAACGATGGAACATCACCATGCTATGAAAATGGGAAAACATCCACTATTTCGACTGGGCCATTTTCAAGTTCGCAAACTGTAAACGTTTACCAGAGGGTACTCGTACTTATGAGACCATCGGAATTTTCACCAGGAATGAAGGGGTGAAGTATGCGGCTGCAGTTTCAGTTATAAGCGGATATATAACCAGAATTAACCATAGTCATTGGGAATATTTACATTACAGTTCAATTTATGGAGTAGAATAATCATTCCCATATGCTCCATGTATGGAATATTTACCAATATGTATCCCAAAAATGACCCAAATGTAGGTAAATATTCCATGCATGGAGCATCTGGGATATATAATGGGAATATAATTGGGAAATATTGGGAATATAGCGGGATGTACAACCAACAACATGATCTAGTTGGGTGTGTCTGAAAAATTGGCTGTAGCTCCCAAATCAGAAATTTACTAGAGAAAATTATTCTAAACCGGTGGATTTTGAGGGTGCCCTATTTTCAGACAAAATTGTTTCTCTTTTTGACGCATTTGTTTCAACAGGGTGAAATGCCGCGGACAATATTGTTTTCTCACTCCTTGAACGTTATTTCAACACCCCCTTTTAATGTGACATTTTGCAAACACTTGTTTCAAGGGTATCCTATTTTGTTTGATGCTGAGATCAACGCAAAGTCGTTGGTGTTTTACGATTTTATTCATTGAAACCTGAGTTTTCCAATAGGCTAACGAGAAGAAAAGGTACAGTATATCAATATTATAATACTGCAGTGTATATGCGTTCCAAAAAACCATTACAATAGTCACTTGGTGTTTAATAACCACTACGTTTATAATAATGATTATAATACTTATATGTATATAATACTCCTCTAATAACCAGTTACACAACCTCGTCACTAACCGGTCACTTCCAAGCGAAGGGCAGTAGCCGGAGCTCCGGCAGCATGTTCGGCAAGATGAAGGTGCTCTGTTCGGGTCAGTGATTTTCAGGGCTACCAGTGCCACTGGTATCCCAAAAAGGTTGAAATTCCATGGTGTGAAACTTAGAATTTATGATAGATATATCGAAATAGTGAATATGAATGGGATGGATGGTACCCTCTGGTAAACGTTTACAGTTTGCGAACTTGAAAATGGCCCAGTCGAAATAGTTGATTTTCAATTTTCATAGCATGGTGAGGGTATCCCCAAATGGTTTTTCAATTCCATGGTGAATTCTGAGTTGTTTATGGGTAGAGATATCATTTTTTTGTGAATATGAATGGGATAAACTGTGGTTGTTTAAAACAGCAACTTCGAATTTATGATATCGAAATAGTGAATATGAATGGGATGATAATGGGATTCACTGTGGTGTTTTAACATAGCTATGGAAGAATTCTGAAAGCCATGACCTATTTGTAGATGATAAAAGTGAGGATTTACCTATGAATGTCATGGTGATTTTCCATAGTTACGTTTAATGACCAGAGGATAGCTAAGTTGGTGCACAACTCCAATAACTGTTGGGCTTCTGGTAGATATATCGAACAAAATAATAAGTTAATAGGAGTCAAACAGGAGTTTTAAAAAGACAACTTTTTTGAACTGGGGGCACCACCTTGTACCAATGAATGGCAGCCATTCCAAAAGTCCAACGATGACCAATTTGATGAGAAGTCTAATATATGAGAGAATATCTGGTTGGGGATTATCCAATAATCCTTCCCATTGACTTTCATATTTTTCAGAGGGGTTGAAACCACCAACCAGTTTATATACTGCATGTAGTATAGATGGTAGATCCCATCTTAAATGGAGGGAAGAACAGCCATAGTTATCCATAGTTGTCATAGTTGCTGGTGACATTAAAAAAAATCAATGATCATCCCCCATGAAGCAAGTAAGCAATGACCCCAACTTCCTGTCGCGGGGTAAAGCTGAGTTGCTCGGTGATTTTGGGGCGAAATTCTAAGATTACTGATCGTTTTGTAAATGATATATTTTAAGTAAGAGTTTAACACACATTCAAATCACTCGTTAGAAAAGCCTGGTTAGGAGACTTACTAACAAACTATGGTTATTAACCACTTACGAAGCCTTGCTAAGCCTTCCAAAAGATGGATGATCCTCCAAATATAAGGACCTGCAGCCTGCAGAATATGTATGATCCTCCAAAATATCCTACGCCTCCAAAAACCATGATCCCACTAAGGGTCATACTATGGGTTATCAACCACTATATCAACCACTATCCTTGTATATTATCTCCAAGTATAAAACATGGTTCCTCTATTATTTCCAAAAAGTAGATAATTGGATGATGATAGACATTCAAATCATTATTATATATATATATATACATATTACCATATGTTCTCTATGACATCATACTGATACCGTAATGATTATTCCTAGGTCCTAGATATATGGTCATAATATATATATATATCATCTATTATATATATATCATCTATTATATATCATCTATATCATCTATATCATCTATATCATCTATATCATCTATATCATCTATATCATATCTATATCATCTACATCATATTATATATATACACACATAATTGTATATATGAATTTCATGGATATCATAGAGATGTTGTAATCATAGATGACCTCTTCCAGGACCGCGCCGCTGGCGCGGCGGCCGCCGGCATGGCGGCGGCCTCGCAGGCCGCCACGAAGGCGGCGAAGACGGCCAAGTACGGCGCGCCGGGGATGGATCATGGGGGTGAAGATATGGATATATATATATATATAATATGGATATGTATATATAATATGGATATATATATATATATAATATGGATATACATATATAATTAATTAATATAATATATATATAATATGGATACAATGTTCATTTAATGGTGAAGAGATAGGCGATATAATGTGAATATGCAATCATAAACATGATATTTGCCAATTATATTATCATGGGCTCATATATTTACATTATAATGGTATATATATATGGGATAGTGGGATATCATGTTTAGATGATCAAGATTTGTGGCTGCAATATATATATATATATATGGTTGATGGATGATCATGGCGTAATGGGATATACTCTACCCCCTAAAATAGCTGGGTGAATGGATGGTGTTTTCCCCAAAAAATGTCATAATAGGTTTTGACCCATAAGCATATGGGTTTATCATGGCGTTTTTCATGGGATATAGAAGCAACAGTCATGAGAACGAGAAATCATGTCATATAATGGTGTATATCATACAAGGTGGTGCCCCATAGTTAGCTAAGTTGGTTTATAACTCCCATAACTATGCATGGTTTATGGCAGATATAACTATAGTTAATGGGGTTTATAAACAAACTTTTAACTGGGGGGCACCATTCTGTAGCCAACTATATGATATGTGGATGTGTCTGAAAATAGGGGATAGCCGCTGGATAGCCCCATTGTTTCAATGAAATACGGGAAAATCATGATGATCCTTGTAGGTTTCCTACAAAACTGGGTCATTTTTGGGGTAAATGTAGGTGTGCATATTCCAGCATGGGTTGCATCTGGGAACATTAAGCCATAGTTCATCCCATGCAATCCAGTGGGAAGATTCCCCCATGCTTTGATGACATTCACCGATTGAGAATTGTACAGTAATTTATGGGATCTAATGGGAGTGTAATGGGGCTATAATGGGCTACGTTTTTTCCCGTTCTTTTTTAGATTCCCCCCCGTTTTTTTTCTGAAACCTATCCTCAAAGGTACTGCGGCAGGAAGCGAGCAAGCAAGGCAGCCAGCCAGCAAGCATAGTCCAACCCGAAACAAACACCCTAAACCTCCCCCCCCAAAAAAAAACGTAAGTCATTTGCAATGTTGAAGCCAATCCTCAATAAACTTTAAACCAGCCCCAAGCGACCCCGTAAAATAACTTTAAATAGACCGTAAGCAAATCCTGATCCAACCCTAAACATACCCTGAACGTACCTGTAAGAAACAGTGAACCAAACATAAATAATAACAAATATACGTACCTTGCCAAGCCTAAATGATCCATAAACAATTAAAATAACATGTGCCACAAACAAACCCTAAATAATTTCAATCCAGCCCCAAAAAAACACCCTAAACAAACACCTTAAAACAACTATATGTATTTATATATATATATACACAAACATTTTAACCAACTATATGTATTCATTTATATATACACACATTTTAAAGAGAAACAAAAAAAACTTAAAACCAACCCTGAACAAGCATCTTAAATGAACCTTAAATGAAGCATAATCGAAAATCTGGCGCATGCATGTTTGGTGATTTTGAGCCCACGAATGGGTTAAGACGAGAGCATGCTCCTGCAGGTTCATGGTACCCGCTAGGAGATTGAGATAGAATTGGTGTTATGATGATTTAATGGACATATAGCTGATATTTCATGAATAAGATGCAAAAGTAATGTCTTCCCCCAGTCATATTGAATACTTTAGATATGGTCCCCAAAATTGAAGAGATCCAATACTGAACCAAGGTTGTGGTATCAGGAGGCCCAATCAGGACTACTCTGAGAGAATGGGTTTGTTTGAGCAGGAAACATAAGAACAAGCAGGAAAAACATATAAAAATAAAAATAATACTAAAAACATGGAAAAATGAAAACATCTGCTGCTAAGAAGTGCATTCAGTATAGTGACAATAATGATAACACAATACTGACAACAATAATCACGATGATATTGTTACGATGTCATATTTTTCTAGATAACATATGCTGTAGGTATGATGCAAACATGATATATACGTTATTCAACATATCATTCTTGGAATACCCTCGGGTAAACGTTTACATAACTATGGAAAATCACCATGCTATTAATGGGTAAATCCACTATTTCTATGGCCAGTTTCAATAGCAAACTGTTAGTTTACCGGAGGGGTCAACCATCAACCAGTTGATCATTAGATGATTCACCATCATTCACCATATAATAACCATTAATATTAATCATTATTAACAGTATATTAACCACTGTCTGCTGAGGCGTCGCCGTGGCCCGCGACGCCGCCTTTGGTTCCGGCGAGAAACCTCTTCCGCCGCGTTCGCCGCAGGGCAGTGGTGGTGGCTATGCGCCGCGCTATGACGAGGACGACGAGGACAGGGCGCGACGGGTTCAGTGTGGAAAAGCCTGAGGGTAACGATCCCATATGCTCCATGTATGGTATATTTACCTACATTTGGGTGATTTTTAGGCAAATGTTGTTAAATATTCCATACATGGAGCATATGGGGATGGGTAAACAACCAATAACTAGGACCTTAGGAAAATAAACTATGAATTGAATCGGTGAAAGAGCGATTTTATTGAGGGTACAGGGTAACTATGAAAGTTGTGATTTGCTCAGAAGAATGAGATAATGAGGGTATGATGTGGATATAAGATGATTTAAGTAATGCGATTAAGCCTGAACAAATTGATATATTACTCTGAATAAGGATTTACTGGGACTTGGCCCAAAAATGTTTGGGATTTCGCCCAGGTAAAAGGGACACATCGCCAAATATATATGATAGCCATGGGCCGTGAGGTTTTTTTTTGGTTTAATGGTGATAAACAACCAAGAACTCGAAAATTATACCATGAATATATCGTACTTTATATGTTTGTATATTTGTATATGTTTTTTTTGTGTTGTTGGTTGTTTTTTTGTTTTGTTGGTTGTTTTTCGAAGGCAGCTAGGATATTTTACCAACAGTATATTATGATTGAGTTGTCTGAAAATTGGCGATACCGTAAAATTGCCGTTTGCATAGGAAGAATGATGGTCAAACAGGAAATGGCTATATTTGCAAAGCATTGTTTTAAGGCAAGAAACATAGGGGTAGTTGTAAATAGTTCAACCATTCAGTACAATGGGATTATCGTGATCCCTTGTGGAATGCCCACTGAAACACCATTGACGTAAATATAAAGGGTACTCAGGGGTTTTCTAATAGGATCTTTACATCGCTCATATTGACACTGTGTAATGCACTAAACCAATGATCTGGTGATTCCCGTTATGAACTTGACATTGCTCAATTGTCATTTATCCCCATTTCATTCCATTGCTGTGTGTCCACTCTTACAAAAATGGTAGATCCCCAGAGGTTGACATCTCCCATCTTCAACACGGGTAACCATCAACCATCAAACCATTGTAAACCAATCATGGCCAAGGAGGCCATCATTGCACCATGCCGGCCATGCCCACTGAAAATAGCCCATTTTAAGCCCCAACATAGCCCGTGAATTTGGTTGGATTTAGTGGAAAAATCGCTCTGATTCACCAGTGGATGGAATGGGATATCCTATTTTCAAAAGGGCAAAACAATACTGGTTGGTGGTTTGGAACATTTTATGACTTTCCATATATTGGGAATAATCATCCCAACTGACTCATATTTTTCAGAGGGTTTGAAACCACCAACCAGAATAGTTGTTTTTTTGAGTGCGGCTTTTGAGACCCCAGCTATCGTTTAGAGTTTGCAACACTGGCTGGTGTCCCCAATTTTGTTAAGGCAGACTGGTGCAACGCCAGAGATGTCAACCCCAAAGCGCAAGAAGTGCAAGAAGTGCAAAGACCCATCGGACTCAAATAAAAAACATGTCGAGGGACCGTGGAAAACAACTTTTGTCGAGGTAAAAAGTTGTTCATTCAGATCGAGCCCTAGAAACAATGCACACAGATGAATGTTGTCCCTCGAATGACCGAGGTAAAGCCTTGTTTTGTAGATGGGAATCAGCGAACGAGGCCCCTAAACGCGGAGAGCAAATGAAGACACGAAGGAGACGAGGTCAAAAAATATATATATAAGTAATTTGGCCAGATGGATGGGAATACTATGATGTACTTATACAACCCCCATTTTTGTAAAACCCCAAAATCCTTCCTCAGAAGGTACCTTCCATCAGCCACAGGAGATGGAATTGCAGCGCGCCCTCGCGGCTTCCATGAAGACCGCTGCGCAGGAGCCGGGGATTTGACAAGTGGGGATTGATATGTTCAACCATCAACAATTTCACTGGTGAAATATCAACATATCTAAAATATCTATTTGATGTCAAAATCAAACAAAAATATCTGGTTGGTGGTTTGGAACATTTTTTATGTTTCCATATATTGGGAATAGTAACCCCAACTGACTTTCATATGTTTCAGAGGGGTAGGTAATCCACCAATCAGCTATTTGATGTCAAAATCCAAGAAAAAATATCAATACTATTATTTGATGTCAACCCCTGCTATTCTTATAATTGATCATCAAAATCAATAGCTATAATCCAACAAAATTTAACATCAATCATCCACTGCTGGGTGTTGATCCTTTCGGAGTTGTGGGGGATCGATCTTGATGGGAATAGAATCAACGAGCTACATTGGGGATTTTTTGCCAAGTGCCGAGTCAGTATCCACAAGTTTTTTTTTTGCCATGCTTTAGGGATCCCCCCAAAAGATTGCATAGTTCATATCTTTTCCATCAGCTTCAAGAGGGGACTCACGGACTCATGCGAAGATACCCTCCAGTTCTGTTGAACATAGCTATTGAAAAGGGTTATTTCGTTCGATGATTTCGCTATATGAACATGGTGATTTTACATTAAGATGTTAGTTTCTTGAAGCTTAAAGGTAAGATGATTTCCTGTTATATTCACTCATACCCCCATCTTTTCATGGTTAAAATCCCATTTTTCATGGTTTCTTGTTGATTCTGTTTGGATCTGTGTTGAGTTTTGAGGATCGAATCATCACCGGTTTTTTCCTCGTCACCGGGAACTCGCCAGTCTCCCATTTAACCGTAGAAACCATGTTAGAGACATATGGAGGTTTCCGAAAATACAGATACCCTACTGAAAATGGTGATTTATAGTGGATTTTCCCATTTTCATAGCATGGTGGATCTTTCCAGTTTGTTATGTAAGCGTTTACCAGAGGGTACCCCAATAGCTGTATGATTCATGGATGAACAATCTTCTTTATTCCTATTTTAAATGGATGATTTGGGGTACTGTGCCCGAATTTTAGGAAACCTCCATATTAGGCAAATAGCTCCACCTGGCGGTCGTTCCTCAACGACGATAACGGATGACATGGTCCAGCTACAGCCCTTGGTACCGATTTCCAACGGGGAAATCGTTGCAGAGGGGGCCATTTCCATGTCTACAAGCATGGGAAAGAGTGACCGTCAGACTGCATTCTCAGAGTTCTTTTCTGGGTACCCAATTTTGATCCACATCCATTCATATAAAGTTGTTTGGTGTTTTTTGCTCATATTGTTTAGATACACCAGCCAGCATCAAAGGTGTTTAGAATGACAGTGAGCAGTGCTACTCCACGGTAACATGTAATTTAAGATTCATTAGATATTACATACTATTGAGTGTAAATGTGTTTGAGTTTGCTGAAGGGTTCTTCATTGATCTTATCATATACACATACATGAAAACCATTAGTGACATGGTTTTTGTTTCCCTTGCGCTCCAGCCGATTGCAACGAATCTTGTGTCTCCACAGGAGCGCACGAGAGGCGCAGTCAATGTACGGCTGTGATTTTGGACCATTTGGGATGGAAGAGAACCTTCATCCACCAACTACTCAGCAAGTCACTGCTTCGCTGTCAATGCCAGGTTGGAAACCGGCATGTTTTTGGTCCTGAAACATGTTTTTTTATCTTAGTATGGTTCGTTTTGACCAATAGATAGGGACAAACGATGGTAACAGAAGCCAGCATCGGTGCAAAGATTGTCTTATGTATTCTGTTGTTAGTTCCTGAACATATACTGTAATAATCTCAACAAAAGATAGATTTGTAGGCAAGGGTTTCGAGAGTGGTGTGTATATATATATATCATATCCTCAATATTTCCAGGTGTCCAATCTGTTTGCATCCATTGTGGAATTATCTGTTTTTCATATTCAATCTTGTGGACATCAGTTCCTTTCCCAGCTGATGAATCGCTTTTCATCAGGTGCAGAGGCACCGCGCTTCTCGGCAAGCCAGGCAAGCCAGGCCCCGATCGATGATCTAATGGGATCCCAATGGGATAATGGGAATATAATGGAGATATAGTGGGATATGGTGGGATATGATTCAATGATGGAAATATGATGGAAATATGATGGGAACATCATTAAAAATGGGATCTGATTCAATGATATACCCGGCCTGGTAAATGTTTACAGTTTGCGAACTTGAAAATGGCCCAGTCGAAATAGTGGATTTACCCATTTTCATAGCATGGTGGATCTTTCCATATAGTTATAGGTGAACGTTTACCAGAGGCTAAACCTCCATTTTCCTATGGTTTTCCTATGGTTTTCCTATGGGTTTTCCTATGGTTTTCCCATTAAAACCTCCATTTTCCTATGGTTTTCGTAGGGATAGATGGCCCATGGGGGTAGTTTCTACACAGACAGATCAAGGGAGAGAATGTCATCCAGCTGGCAAGCATTTTTTCCAGCCAGTCGCATCCATTTTTTGTTGGTGAAACATGGGAATTCATGGTGGTTCAATGGGATTTAATGGCTGGTTGGTGGTTTGGAACATGAATTTTCCTGGTTAATCTATGGTTAATCTATGGTTAATAATTGGAATGACAATATAACTGGTTGGTGGTGACTGGAACATGTTTATTTTCCATTCAGTTGGGAATGGAATAATCGTCCCAACTGGCCAAATCATATTTTTCAGAGGGGTAGGTCAACCACCACCCAGATAAGATGTTGACTGGTTGACTTCCCTATATCCCCGCAAGATAGACCCCTGAAGCCATCTCGGCAGAGGAAATCACTTTGCGGTTGGCTAAACCTCCAGTTCGTCGTGATCAATGTCCCCATTGTTGCTGGTTATGTAATGTTATATCTTAATTCTTGTTAGTCAATTCCCAGTAAATCCCATTAAATCACATTTGTTGTTGGTTAAATGCCATTAAAACCCAGTGTTTGCTTAATTCAGTAGAAGTGTGGTCAAGGTCCCAAAATTTGTTGGCAAACCATCTCTTATGTACCTTGCGAGCCTTGGCAGGTGCCTCGAAATCCTCCTGGTTTGGAGATGTGTGGAGCTGAGCGCAAAGATTGGCAATTCGTATTACAGCGGGATTGGATTGTATGGATTTCATATATCATTCTATATAGATATATACATATATGTATAATGGGTGTATATATATATACATACATATATTTGTATATTTATATATAAAGTACTTTACGTCGTGTGATCCCCACCCTGGCATCTATCCTCACATAGCACCTGCTGGGGAAGGATGAAGGTGGCAAATTCTGTTTGCTTGCATGTTTAAAATGGGAAAGGGTGATATGCGTCGATATTCTGGTGAAAGTATGTTTTCAGGTTTTCAGGATGGGTATACCAGCTCTACTCTATGTGTGTATATATATTATATATATATATATATTTATTCACATACGTATACATATATATATATAAGGTCAGGTGTGGATTAAAAAACACTGACTCTCCATTTTGTCAGCTTCAGGTGTTGATACTGCGACATAGTTTTAGCCTTGTTCAAGCAACCAAAAACTGACCTATATTATGTATATATGTTGTATATATATATATATATACTAATATACATATATATGACGGATGTAGATGACCAGCCGGCCGACCAAGATAGCGTAGGTGACCCCCAAAAGAGTCCAACAAGATCTGAAGATATTCAACATCAGAATAATTATGTATGTATGTATATATATATATATAGATAGATAGATAGATCGATGGATGGATGGATGGATAGATCGATAGATAGATAGATAGATCGATCGATGGATGGATAGATAGATAGATGATTAGATTAGATTAGATTTGATTCGATTAGATAAATAGATAAATAGATAGATACATAGATACATAGATAAATAGATAGATTTTTAGAGATTCGTATTTGTTGAATGATTTGATTGTGATTCCGCCATAAGTTTGGTGCTTTTGGTCGCCAAACAATGGTCCCTCCAAGAGGTTGATGGAGATGGGCTTCGAGGAAAGCTTGGTGAGGATCGCCTTACAGGTGGGGCAACCGATTTGGTCGCGATCCGTTGGTTGAGGACGTGGCGGACCTGACATGACCTGACTGGTGATTTGATCTGGCCATTTTACCAAGTCACCACAGGTGGTGATTTGATCATCCAAAATATATGGGGGATATCATCTGATTGGTGGTTTGGAACATGTTTTGTTCCCCCAAAAAAAGGTTGGGAATTGAATAATCATCCCAACTGACGTTCACTCCATCATGTTTCAGAGGGGTAGGTTGAAACCACCAAGCAGCTGGGGCTAGCCTACGCTTCTAAGTTGTTGTATTCGGATCAGGGATTGTATTCGGGTACCAGATCCCACTTTTCAGAAATGTTGGAAAAGATGACTCAATTCTACAGCACTGTTTGATGGCTTAAGAGTTTTTTTAAGGTTCAATCCTGAGACAACGTGATCCCCCTTTTTTCCCATTTTGTTTCCTAGAATAGTTGAGATGGATTGAAGCATGAATGAATTAATTATCACCCACCCATGTATCCCAGAATGTTTGGGATGCTACAGTACATTTTTGTTGGATCATGGATTTGATGTTTTCTTTGTATCCAACTCATTTTATTTGGAATGAATGAATGGATCATTTGCATAATATCATTGTATATCATTTATTTTGCCCCTGGAACGGACGTTGGTTGTTCCATTGAGGAAAAAACAAACCGATCGCCAACTTCATCCCCATCCAGACGCAAAAGTCGCCTGCTTCGCGTGGTGGCACTGTGGTGACACGAAACTGCGAAGCTGCTGAGGATTGTGACGGAGCTGCTGGACAAATGTGGGGGTGGGTCAAAACCTATTATCAAGTATTATCAATTTTAGGGGAATGAACATCCATTTACCAGCTATTTTGGGGTTCACGGCACGGTGCCAGGGTTTTGACCCATAGCCATCACTGGTCCAACTTAGAATGGCATCAAAGATTGCAGCAAGGGCCGAGATCATGGTCATTGCCATGTCATTGCAGTGGACCCTGCATGTGAAAGCTGTGGAATCCTGCAGTTGACATGTTCCGGAACGGAAAATGAACCGATCCGGGATCATCCTGATCCACAGTAGCAGTGGCTGTGTTTATTGGGGTAAATCAGTGCAGTTGTTATTCCCCAAAATTGTGGCCTTCTTCCGTCGATAAGAGGTAAGTCATGTGTCAAGAAACAACTCTCCAAATTATATCCGCATATATATATATATATATCCACATGATATCATAGTTTCTATCCCTATGGATCCAAACACCTCCTCAGATATAGTACTTACAGCAACCCCCAATATCGTATCACAGCATGCCTCAAACACTTCCTAAGAAGGAACGACTGGATCTATAGGGTATAGGAATCCCCACTTATCAGTTGGTTTCTAAACCATACGTAGGAACCAAAAAAAGACCATAAACCGTAAACCCTACAAAAGTATCAGTTCGTAACATATAGTAACTAATTATAAATATATCGACCATAGACCCTACCATAGTATCATACTTTCTAATAGTAACTCGGAATGATGAAAACCCATGTGAGGCCAGCGATGGAGATGTGGAGGCAGCCCTGGCGCAACTCTGTGCCAACAGGTGCGGACGAGTTCGGTTCGTTCGAATGGTTAAGCAATGGTGATTTTCTGGGAATTCATGGGGATATAATTATAAACTACCATAGGGATGTATGTTTGTAAATACATGATATTATATATTATATTATATATATAATTATATATATATAATTATATATATATACACATGATGTTGTACATCATCAACTTGAGATTGTTTGGCTGTGTCTGCAAAAGGGCTCGAAAATGGAGGGATACCTTCAAATGGCGTTTGAATGATGAAGGCAATGATAAAAGATTGAATTTGGGGTACCCCTAGTTTATATACTATCCAAGTTGGGTATGCCCGCCATAATTACAAACTGACAAGTTTAAGTTGAATAATGATAATTTGATGATATAATATATACATTAAGCTGGGATGGAGAATTTTACACAGAGTCTAGCACTGCCCAGCATCCCCTCAACTAACATAGACCCTGCGAATTATCCATTAGGAAAGTTGGCTTGAACCGCCCCCTGTGTTCTAGGGTCCAGATTAGTTGGATATCGATCCTGACCAGAAGTTGGTTTACAAAGGCCATAACTAGTGGCTTTATGCTGCATATATCTACAGTTGGATGGGGTTATCAATCAACTTCTACCTGGGCAAAACCTGAAAAATGGGGCACCATTTTGTAGGTGTTGCCATCTTTGGAGCTTCCCAGTGGTGGAAAGGCATACCAGAACCCATGGATTTCATTTGGTTGGTAAGTTCGTGAAAAAATCCCAGTATATCCCCATGATATCCCCATAAAATACCATGCTTTCCGCTTAGACTGCTCATATTTGCCAATCCACTGAAAGCCAGGGAAGACCTGGAGGGTGTGTGGACACCAAGATGTTGACTGACTCGGTTGGACAGTGCGAATATATTGGGGATTGTTTCCCTTTGGTAAACAAAAAGCTATGGAAGATCACCATGTTCAATGGGTAATCCGGCTATTTCGACTGGGCCATGTTCAAGTTCGCAAACTGTTAGTCATTACCAGCGGGTAAATCCTGCATAGAGGTTCATGGCTGGCCAAAAGCGAAGAAAACGCTGGATTTTCCATGACCCGCATGTGACGCATGTGCGTCGATGATGTGGTTGATTTTCCCAGTGGGAAATCCACTTCCAGATCAGCAGATCCAAGAATATATTGCGGATGACTATGATCCATATGTGTTTTTTCATGTTTGTTAGTGTTTTTCATGATTTAATGTGTGTTTTCTTTGTGTGTGTTGATCGATGTCATTGTGTTTTCTGGATTTTACTTCATTCGCTTGTGGCCTTTTGAACGAATAAATAGCTGACATGTGATATTGTACCTTGCTGTGAATGAATGTGAATAAGATGTGAGTCGAGGCAAAAAAAAACGAACGCGTGCTGCTATGCCACATGTTAGCGTCAAACCCGGAATGGGTTTAAGATTGAAACAAAGTTTGGATAGTAAGATATTGTAAGAATATGTAAGAATATCAAGAACAAACATGGATTGCCGCCATTTTCCCGCCACTTCCCCCCGTCCTGTCCCCCCCTCGGACGGGGCAAGGCCGCCAGTGACGGCAGTTCTGTTGGCACCCCAACACACGGCCGAGATCCTCAGTGACAGACGGTTGGTGGATGTTTGTTGGGGAGGTCCTATGAATTTTCGTGGGCCTTGAAACAGTTTCTGGTTGGTGGTTTGGAACATGAATTTTATGACTTTCCATATATTGGGAATAATCATCCCAACTGACGAACTCATATTTTTCAGAGGGATTGAAACCACCAACCAGAGTTTGATTGATTGTTTTGGGGCATGGTTTGTAAATCATTTCGATGTGGTATTGTTTGGTATTGTTTGATGTCATGAATTCATATGAATTCGCTAATATGGGTGAATTCTACAGCAAAACTGCGAAACATTGGCTACCTGACATGGCTAATTCAGAAAGTTCTGAAGGTTCTGAACCATCCCCCGAAGTGTGCATCGCAAATCATCCAGGAATGGTAAAGATATATTGGCAAACTGATGGTACTGATCCCCGAAAATTGGCCATAGAATTCGGGGAATGTTATTGGGGTTCTTAGTTACGCACCAAGATTGACGCGGAAAGAGAAGATAGCCCATAAAGATTGAAGCTTCATAAACACATGATGTGTGTAAACATTAAGTACCATAAACTTGACCCATCGGAGATGGATATCCAGAAACGCCAACAACCATCCCCGATTTTACCAGAAATGGATGGAAATGGGTTATATAAACTCTGCATAACTCTGCAATGCTGGAGGTTTGTGATTGGATTTACTACATCACAAGGTCACCTGGGAAACCCCCAAAACCAACGAGTCGCGGCCCACATGAAAAGATCCACCACGTTCGGTACTGAAGTGCAGGACGGTGATATTTCATGGTATTTCTATCTCTATCTTTCAAAAGATACAAAATGGTTAGGCATGAGGCATGAGATGTGTGCATATCTGCACTATCTCTTACTACCTCTAAGTTAGCTTTGGTATATGTACCCCCTAAAAAAGGTGGGATGTACCCTCTGGTTATTTAACATAGCCATGATATGGATGGCCCATAGAAATAGATGGTTTACCTGGGTTTACCCATTAAACATGGCGATTTTCCATGGCAAACTCTTAAATAACCCGAGGCGCAGCGCAGCGGTGCGCCGCATTGGAGGCGCCGCCTTTGTCCCAAGATCCGTTTGGCCCGGGGCCAAACGTGGATCTTGGTGGGTTGTAAGCCCTTAACAAATCTTAATATAAGAACATGGTTGTTGGTTAATCATAGTTAATAATGGTTAATAATGGTTAATAATTGGAATAACAATATATCTGGTTGCTGGTGTGGAACATTTTTTTCCATAATATACGGGATATATAATCCTTCCCATTGACGAACTCCATCATTTTTCAGAGGTAGGTCAACCACCAACCTGATGATTATTAACCAGCATTAACCATATAAGAACCATTAATATTAACCATTATATAATACCAATAGTATATTACCAACCAATGGTAGGTCAACCACCAACCTAATATGATTGGGTCCCACCCAGAGATGTCCATTTTCCCAGAGATGTTCCAGAAATGGCTAGGCTGCAGAGAAGAGGGCTGCCGAGGCCCGAAACAACGTGCGGAAGACCCAGGTGGTTGGTGATCTTTTTTGCGAAGATCCACAAGCAGCCAGTTATGTAATTGGTAATTATCTGGCACATGGTTGGATGCTTTTAGATTATTGTGGTATATACACGTTTATATGTGTATATTATGTGTATGTATATATATGTATATATGTTATATAATTTTATATATTTATAGATATATATATATATTTATATATATATATGTGTGTGTTTGGGTAAATTATAACGACCTCACTGCGACCTCACTGGAAATCATAGTTAGTAAGGAGAATCATCCCTAAATGGCCTTAATTCAGGTTAGTGAAATATTCTAATTTACCCAGATGCGTGTATGTATGTACATATGTGTCTATATGTAATATGTAAGTAACCGATTCTACCATATGCTCGATGCATGAACCCCGATTTTCTAGTTATATTTATGTGAAAACCGTGGTATCAGGATTCGATCCACAGCCATATGTGTGTGCGTGTTTTTTAAATTGTGATTGGCGATTTTGATGTATCTTGTCTTTTGCTTGCATATACCCTCTGGTTATTTAACATAGCCATGGAAGCCATGGCCCATTTATAGATGGTTTACCTATTAGAAATGGTGATTTTCCATGGCGATGTTAAATAACCAGATGGTATCATGTACATACATGTACATTGTATGTTTTCTTGGCTGGACCTAGTCTGGTAAATTTTGGTAAAGGGCAGCCTACTGCACTATTCAATGTTTTGCCAGTTGCCGTCCTGGGCGTAACCTCCCAGCAATCAACTTATGGTACTGGAATGTAAGTTGCAATCCATGTTTCTTCATGGGAAACTACGAGAAGATCATATGAAAAAAATGTTGAATTTCCAGTGCCAGTGGGTTTTTGAGAGGGTCAGTGATTACTAAAGCTGGTTGTTTTGTCCCGTGGCTATGAACACCTTAGACCTTAGGACCCGCTACCACCGTGGTTCTCCAAGGTGGTTGTCAGCATCATTCCAAGTTACGATCAAGATTGATTTATGGAGGTGTCCGAAAAAAGTGGTGGCTATCCCAAGTCACCATGGTTTTTTTTTCATACAAAAAAACATTACTGGTTTCAAACATTTTTTCCATTTCATATGTGGGTTGTCATCCTTCCCATTGACTTACTCCATGATTTATCAAGATGGTAAGAGTTTACCAGTTTACCAGTGATACACATATATATATATTACCATCTGGTTATGACTAACATAACCATGGAAAATCCACCCATTTTTAAGAACGGTAAACCATCTATTTCTATGGGCCATGGCTTAACCGGATGATTTGGGACTGCCATGACTCCATGACGTCCCGATGGGTCTTCAGAAGAACAGGAAACCATGTATTGTTTGCCCTCTATAAATGTATAGTTGTACATATATATATATATGTATATTATATATATATTATATTATATATAGATATATGTATGTGTATGAGTTTAACCTCGCAATGGAAAAATGACCCGTTTAGTCTGATAAGTCTCCTATATGGAGGTGTCCTAAGTCGTGGAGGTACCCTCAATAATCATCCATTTCTTTGTTGAATTTTCCATGAACTAAACCATCCAGCTATGGGGGGCTAGCCATCAAGGCTGGCACTATGGACGACTGGAGGTGCCATTCATGGGATACGAATGGGAAGAAAATGATAGAAACATATGGTTTTACATGGTTGCATTTGGATAGTTACTGGATGATTATGGGATGCTAGCTATGGTTAAGTGGTTAACTTTAGTTTATGAGTTTATGATAAATATATCTAGAGTTAATGGAATACTATTGGTATGATTATGAGATATACCCTCCAATAATCAAACTTGGCAAATTGGGAAACACCCAAACTAAATGGAGGTTTGTAACTGAGAAAATCACCTTTCAACAGTGCCATGTCTGATTACCGGAGGGTATGACCATGGAACAGCAATTCAATGGGCTTTGGAATGTCCAACCTATTCGATGATGATACATGATAAGGCAATATACGACACTGCGCTGTAAGATGACGTACATTACCAGACAACAGAATGCCATACAGTACAACACAACACACTGTTTGATGTCCAACATCCCCCCCTAGAACAACAACAACAACAACAGCAAAAAACAACCAAAAAAAAAAACAACAGCAGCAACAGCAACAGCAGCAACAGCAGCAACAGAAGCAACAGCAGCAACAGCAGCAGCAGCAACAGCAACAGCAGCAGCAGCAGCAGCAACAAAAACAGAAACAAAAATAGCAACAACAAACAGACAGACAACAGACAGACAGGCAGGCCGACAGACAGAGAGACAGACAAACAAAACACAAAAACGACGACGACGACGACCAGGTACAAGGTGAGGCCCTCGGGTTATGTTTGTTGGTTTTTAAAGCCATTGACTAGTTCGATATATCTACCATAAACCATCGATATATCTACTATAAAGCAAATTAGCTATCATAGAACCGCTATAAATCCCATTAAATCCCATTTTTCTTTGTTAAATCACCATTTAATACCTTCTTTTCCTATGGCTGCTTTGAGGAAATCATGAGATCTTTCACCACTTGAAGTCCAGGCAAGAACAGCGCCGCCAGGCTTCAAGGCCTGGTTGATTGGAAAAAGTGGGATCAATGGGAATTCAAGGACCCTAAAACAGTTGAAATATATCGACCCCTGAGCCCCACTATGTATAGCATAGGTAGTAGGTCTAGTGTAGACATGCCGTAGCTATGATTCCATCACATCCGAAGTAGTACATCTCAATACATGTACAGTTGTAGCACAACCTATGTAGAAGCGTTACATAGGTAAAGTAGCCTTAGATTAGAGGGTAGTACTAGTCCCATCCTAACAACAACCTGGGTGGTAGTAATTAGTATGCATCCGACGTCGACTGGCTCAAGTGCCTTCTAGAAAAGGTGCTTGTTGTGTTTTCATGCAGGGTCTGGGGAATTGGGTTCCCGTTTCTTTTGGGGTCTCCGGTTCTTCCCCCTGTTTGACTGGTTATCAGCCGTAAGGCTTTGTGTTAGGGAACCTAATTCTTTGGAACTTGCTTAGGCCCTAACATCGTATTCATCTTTTCGCTGTCACACTTGCATGCCCACAGATACGTCTGAGGAGGTCGCTGAGTTACTCGCGACCGAAGCACCAGCGGACGAAGGAGAGGGAGCGACGGACGCAGAGAGGGTTGAGCAGCCTGTTCCCCAATCTGTGGAAGTTGCGACCGAACCTGTCCTCTCCTGGGCAGACGCATCTGAGGATATTTTTGCGCCCGAGCCGTCTCTTGAGGGAACATCTGCAGTAGCTGACACAGATCGAGCCGAAGGACATCTGTTGGAGGTGAAGCAGGAGGAGTTCCAAGAGGCTACAACATGGGTGCCGTTCTTTCTGTGATTGGAGTGCCAGAAGAGGTCGCTGACGAAGTCGCGACGGACCCTGCAGACCAAGCTTTTGATCCGGTTGAGGCTGACCCCAACGAAGTCCCAGCTGAAACTGCCTTTGCTGATTTAGATCGTGTGAAGGAAGAAGGTCAAGACCGTCCTGCAGGTGAGCCGTTGCCTCTTGCTGAGCAAGCCGATCCAGAAGCTGAGACAGCCGATCTTTTAGGTTTAGGTGACGAGGCGGGTCCAGTAGGAGAAGCATCCGTTGCATCCGAACCATCTGCATCCGTGCCTGAGCCTGCGGTCGCTGACACATCCGGTGTCGCGACAGAAGCCAACACTAGTTGCCCCGATCAAATAGTCCCACCACCAACTAGCCCTAATCTTGTTGACCCAGGTGCCGATCCTATCCAAGTAGGACATTCCCCCGCTAGTTCATCAACAGCCCATCGACCAAGGGTTCGATCCAGCAGGGGTGGTGCCACAACCAGGTGGCAAGAAGCAAAGCGAGCTTGGTGGAACGACTTCGAGGCATACCAAAATTGGCTTTACCATAACTCCGGAGGGGATATCGTAGGTGGCTTTTGGTTAAGAAAGATTTCTTACGAATACGCCGACGAAAGCACTCGCTGGTTGATAGCTCTTCATTCAAGACTTGTTGAGGAGTTCCCAACATCACAGTGTTTAGCTTTGGCCTATCAAATCCTCATCCCATACAAAGAGTGGGCACACATTTACGGTTTGGACAGGCGTAGAGGTACATCACACGCTGAGCAAGTGATAAACTCTGGTGAACTACCCCCAAAAAGGATCATCAATCAACGCATCTTAGGGGCAGAGCACCCACGCCCAGAAGAGTGGGATAGGTATTATAGATACATAGGCCCACAGCAGCAACCCCATCCAAAAGTGGTAAGGCCTGCTGCCGCAACACCCGTTGCTGGCGCGGCAAGTGGAGGCACAGAACCTACTCCGGTCCAGCAAGGACCCAAAGAGCCTGGGCATCCACCGCCGAACTGGCAACCTTCATTGCGAAGACCACCTGAGCCAGCAGTGCCACCGCGTCCAAGGGTTACTGTTTCTGTCCATCCGGTCCCACAAGCCCCAAAGTCAGATTCTCAAGGGGTCGCTGCCTCTGGGCGCGACGTAGCACCAGTCCCAGCTGCTAGCCCTGCTAAGCCACCAGCTAAAGCTAGGCCTAAAGCTCCTGATTCTAGTGCCACATCCCTTGCAGATAGAATTCAAAGTTTGCCACCTCCACCTAATAACATTCCCCCTAGTCCGACCCTTCATAAACAACCACCTTTACCACCACCACCATCTCATCCGCCGCCAACTGCACAGGAGCTCGCTGCCCGCAGTTCCCAGCCAGCAGAGGCGCGAGAAGAGGCTGCTCCGGAGGGTCCCAACGATCCACCGCCTGAAGAGGAGCAGCGGGTGGAGGAGGAAGAGGAAGAGGAAGCTTTGGAGGAGGACGAAGTGGTTGAAGTTGAGGTTGAGGCCGAAGCCGAACCCGAATTCCCTGACTTTGCACCAACAGAGCACGGCCGTGAGGTTTCCACGCGCCGTCGTAGGCCTAAAAGAACTAGGTCCAATCCGCCATTGCCTGTCAATCTTGTCCCAAGGGAAACCCGTGAACGCATTGAACTTAATCAAGAACTCTATAGAGCCCGAACCATAACCGGTGTTTCTAGGAGACCTCTTGCTTTAAGACCTCAAGTGCACGGTTACCCCGAAATTAGAATTGACTCCGCTGGCACCTGGGCTAGGGTCGCTGATCCTCCGATCGCGTACGCGCCGCAGACTTTGCCGTTCATTGTGCCGCACGCCGTGGCACCAGAGCTTGGGGTCAACCCACACGAGCTTCCCGACTCGTTGTGGCGTGATCCTGCACTCAGATCCCATCGTACTGTTCTTGGTTCAAGTAATTAGACCCCAACAGTGTTTATAATCTTGACACCAATAACCCCGGTACCGAATCTGAGGGCTCTGAAACTGCTGAGACTCGAACCGCCAGGTTTGTTTCATCAGGTCAGGCATTTGTTGGCCAGCAAGAACCTTTCGACGCTGGCTTCGCTGAGCGCACCCCTGCCCGTCCAATTGAGTCTCCACCAAAGAGACAGCGTCCTAACATAAGAACCTCCCGAATCCAACGTGATAAGCCGGCACAGCCCAGAAAAGATCCAGTTTCTGCTGCACCACCACCTGCAGCCCCAACAGTACCATCTTTGACTGTTCCCCCATTAAGCGGTTCTAGTAGTTCAGCTTATCCCTGGAGGCAATCTTTGCAAGGTGCTGGAACTGGGGTCGCTGACACAGCCCGTGTCGCGACAGAGACCGTATCAGAGCCAGCCGGCTCTCCCGTTGCGCGATCCAGGTCAAGAGCACCCTCAGCCGAAACTGCGCCCGCAGTTGCTGCTAGACCAAGGGGAAGGGAAGTACCAATTTCCAATAAGATTTCATCTAAGTCTCGCAAAAGAGCTAGTTCCGTTCCTGTGCCAATCCGTGCAAAGGGGGCTGCTGTCCCCGACACGCCCCAAAGGCCTGAACCGTTGCCACCAGCTCCAGAGAAAAAGAAGAATCTGCCTTGGAAACATCCACCTGTGAACATTGGGCCTGCGACACCCGTTGCACCTGTGGCACCTGCTGCACCCGCGGCACCTGTGGTAATTCCCCCAAGACCTAATAGGCCTGTTCCCCCTAATCCAGCTAGTCTTAAGCCTGTAAAACCCCCTCCGCCAGGAATTTTGGGGCCAAGACCTGCTGGTCAACCGTCCCGAGATCTTCCTCCACTTGATCCCGAAGGACAGCATCCGATAGGCTTTCAACGCCGAGGTAGCTGAGCTTGCTCGCTACGTTCGTCGGTCTGTCCTTGTCGTTTGCCAAGTGTCCATTGTCCAATTGCCTTTTGCCTTTTGTTTTTAGTTCAGTGTTGTTCTGCGGTCAGAGCTAGGGTCATTACCGCTAGCGAAGCCGTATTGCATCCGAACTTCAACACAACTTGAATTAATTTCAATTGCACTTTATTATCTTAATATCCAACTTGCGAAGACTTTGTTGGTTGAGGTAGTATTGTGCTGCATTGGTCTTTTGTCCCATCACTGCACACTTTTGCTTGGGACGCTGAGCAAAGCTCGCGTTGGATCACATCGTTGCAGTTGAGCGCAAAAGTTCAGCCGAGTTTGGGTCAAGATGTCAGGCATTTCTCCCCCTTCTGATCCTAGTTCATCTAACAGTAGGTCAAGGAGTAGTCCTGAAACTTCTAATCCAAATGCAACAAGGGTCCCGGCGGTTGTTACCTCCCTGGTTCCACGAAGAATCCAGTTGCCTTCAACTAGGGATGCCATGCGTGTTGATGAGTCATCTGATACTAGTGTGGAAGCATCTCAACAAAATAGATTTAGGCAAAGGGGTCCCCATGGTCCAAACCCAAGCAATAGTCCTGATGAAGATAATCCTGTAGACCTTAGTGCAACCCAAGCCACTTTCCTTGCGGGTGCTGCTGTAACCCAAGCGCACCATGCCGCCACTATCGCAGACCATGCTAGTAATGTTGCCATCCAATCCCAATTAGAAGCCTTCCAAGCTAGACAAGTCATCGCACAGCAGCAATCCGACTTTGGTCAGGTCGCTGCAGAAATGCGCGACGCCGCAGCACGAGCCATCCTGCACAACCAGGAGGAAGCTCACGCCGCTCTGGCTGAGAGGGACAGGGGTTCGGAGTTGTTTGAGCATAACCTCACCCAACAAGCCCAACAATTTGTTTTTGGGGCTAGGCAACAAGCTCAGCAGGAAGTCTTAGAGAGCCAAGCGGTTTTGCAATGGGAAGCCCAACAATTTGTGGAATCTAATGTTAGACCACTTCAACAACAAATCAATTTGGGTAACCAACAATTGGCCACTCGGGAAGTTGAAATAACTGAAAGGGATACTAGGATTGCTCTCCTGGAGCATGAGTTGGCAGAAGCCAGACGCCAAAACAACTTGGCTGTAGCATCCCCGGTTCCAGTTTCCCCCATTTCAGGTTCTGCCCTCATGGACTTCCTTGCGGATCTTCCCCGAGAAAATATAGGTCAAAGGGTAATTCCTGAAGATGAGCAAACTATGGAAAACTTCAATTTATTTGAGGGTTATGTTCCAGCTCCAGCTCAAACACCAGATGTTCGTGCTAGGCCTTTTGGTTCCCCACAAAATACTCCAGTTCCCCTGCAAGAGGTTGCAA